CACAATCAATATATACTATCAAAGCTGACTTCCACAGTAGACCACCAGGGAAAACAGCTTTGGTACATGTGGCCCTGGACAGCACAGAAACACCACCAACTCAGATACGAGGATGCGCAACGCGCTTTTGCTGGGGGGCTGCAGGCACTGCGGGCACACAAGCCATGGCCACAAGCCCCTGCGAGGCTCTGTGACAGCCTCAGGCCAGGCAACTGCCCAGGCTGACCAGCAGCTCTACTTCCCAAACCTCACCAAGTTATCACCTCGAGCCTAACTCACTCCCTAGACAGGGGTCCGGTGCGGCGCCTCGCCTTCCACGAACGCCCAAACTGGGCAACGACACACCAGCTGCGAAGCAGCTTTCAGTAGCCCCATTAGAATAAGCAGAAATATCACTCATTAAAATGAAAAACAAAAACAAAAACAAAAACAAACAATATAAAAAGCTCCAATTCTGGGGACTGAGAAAACAGAACCAAGGAAATCTGAGGATTCCAAAATACAAGTCAGCAAACTCCAACACTAAAACAGGACAAGACAAGGTCTGGATATAGGGGACATCAGGCACACGCCCCGTCCTCGAATGACAGAAACCACTCAGGAGAGCGTCCCTTGACGAAACCAGCCACCTGCAGGGCATGGGGGCCACGCCTGGCACAACCCAAGCAGAGCCAATGCAAACATGCTGGAGCAGACAGGTGCCCGGGAAGTGGGGTCACTCGTGGGTGCAAATGAAGGCCATCCGCAAGGGCAGCTTGGGCCGGGCCTCACCAACAGCAAAGCCCACAAGGGTCACAAACTCCTGGGTGTGTGTGTGTGTGTGTGTGTGTCTGTGTGTGTGTGTGTGTGTGTGTGTGTGTGTGTCTTGATACCAACTGCCCAGAGTCTTCGCGGGGGTTGCCAAACTTTATTCAATGTCTAACATGAAATTTGACATAACGAAGTTTCCTACTGTTTCAGTGACATCTCTTAGACAAAATATTGGGCTGAGCAGGTCAAAGAGATGTGCTGTGATGTGGGGGCACAACCTGCTGCAGGGAGAGAGCGGGAGGAGACAAAGCGTCACTTCCCAAGTATATAAAGTGGAGTCAGGGAAGTCCACCATCCTCCATCCTCCTGAAACGACCCAGGGAAGTCTGAGGCTGTGGACGCTTTTACAGAAACAACTAGCCCAGTCCCTGGCACAGTCACACATGCACACACACACAGATATCAGGAGAAAAGACCCCATGCAGAACACGTACCAGCACCCCTACCTACCCACCTAATACAACAGCCTCATTTATGTTGCTGTCGTGTAGTTATGTCAGGAACATTTTAACTGGATTGTAGACTTTTGGATTCTGGTCAGCTGGCAGTGACTGGGTGGGAAAGCAAAGCCCAGCACCACAGATGTCACCATCCTCAGTATTTAGGGAATGAACACCATACCCATATGCGAACATTCACTGTGGCCAAAACAGAAAACAAAACTTCTGCATTCTAATTTCCTAGCTAGGACCTCTTTGTACCTTTATTTTCACTGAAGCTGCCAGACAGATTCTAGAAAGAAAAGCCTAGGGACACAGAGCCTACAGTTCATGAACATCAACAGTGATCTCTTTCTATAGTTACAGGCCATAAGGAAAGAGGGATTTTTTTTCCAGTTCTTTCCATGGACTCCCTGAGTCGTGCTGAGCCAGCTGGAGCGCTGGCTGAAGGACTCTGTGCTGATGCACACACAGCAGCAGGCACTCGGAGAAAGGCCGTGGGGCTCCAGAATGTCCTACTTCCTCTTCCTCCATTTCCAAGCATGACCGCAGCTCCTGATACATGCCTTGCACATTCACTTACCTGGCTCATTTTCATTTGGTAAGATTAAAAGCCATCATTAGGAAAAAGAAATGCAACAATTTTCTATAAAATGAGAAGAACAAATCGGACGACTTCACTGGGCTTGAAAACAAAAATACCCCCTTTGACTTCCCAGCAAAGGAAAGCATTTTTCCCAAAGCAACAAAGGAAAGAACCACTCTCCTCTGCCTGCACTGTTCCTGCTTCACACCAAATCCTTTCCAGCACACACCACGCTGAGCGAGGATGAACCAGATGTGAGTGCCACGAGGCAAGGGAGTCTTGGTTAGGCTAGGAGAAGGCACCTGTACTCATCAGCGGAGTACTGTACTCCATGAGGCAGGGGAGTCTTGTGTTAGGCTAGGAGAAGGCACCTGTACTTCTCTTTCACGGTTCACGTTAGGCACCCTGGTTTTCTTTTTCTTTTTTTAAAAAATATTTTATTTATTTATTTGACAGAGAGAGAGAGAGATCACAAGTAGGTGGAGAGGCAGGCAGAGACAAAGGAGGAAGCAGGCTCCCTGCTGAGCAGAGAGCCCAATGTGGGGCTCAATCCCAGGACCCTGAGATCATGACCTGAGCCAAAGGCAGAGGCTTAACCCTCTGAGCCACTCAGGCGCGCAGCACCCTGGATTTCTACTCCGCTTCCCTTCACCATGAGTCGAAGGCAAGAGTCATTTCTCAGCAACTTTGGTCCAAAGCAGAAATAAGATCCTCTCTCAGACTGAAACTCCTAACTCCTATTTTCCTCTCAAGCATGACTCAGCAGCTTTGATTTTACTCAAAGAATTTACCTGAACTAAACTCTCCTTAAAAAAACCACCTGCCATTTTTCAACTCCAAATTATTTTTCCTTCAGTGTCAGGTAGAAAATACCTTTTGCAAAACTATCCAACCACCCCCTTCTCTCTGAGCACTGCCCCTGCTCCAGGAGTGGACCCCCAGGCAATTCTGCCCCCTCCCTGCAGCTCGCCCAACCAGGGGTAGGGGGGTGGACGATATCTGGTCCAGTCCGACCAATTACAGTTCTCCCTGGCTGATCGGTGCTGGATACCACCCTTCAGCAGTGGTGCTGGGCTAGGGCTGGCGGGTGGTTTTCTCAGCATGCTGGCTAAAGCAGAGAAAGCCAGACTTCAGAGAGAGGTGGAACGACCCAGAAGCAGAGAGAGAAGCAAATGAGAGAATGTGGATCATTAGAGTAAATGACTTTGGCTGCCAATTATTTTGTTCCCAGTTGAGGACGCTCCTCAGGCCCTGCATTCCCAGACCTGGTTTCAGTGAGCTATCCCTACATCCTTCATGTATATTCCCACTTTTTCTTAAACTAGGTTCCTGATGCTCCCCTTGTTGTAATGCAACAGTTCCAAAGATGGCCACGTGAGCAGTAACTTCCAAATCCCTGTCCTACAGTCTAAGAAGCAGCACTTTCATGAGATCAAAAGTCAAAGATCAAAGGGGTAGGGGGAGGAACCCAGTAGGAGAGGATAGGAAGGGTCGGGATGACAAGGGGGGACTGCCCCAAGACAGCATTCACGCTATCAAGCACCAGGAGACCAGTGCCCAGGGAGCTCATGGTGTCAGTCCCCAAGGCACAAAGTCATAAAGGGAAGACAGAAGTGAACAACGGCAGTGGCGGGCACGAGGCGTGCACAAGCAGAACAAGACGGTGCCAGGGTTCGGCTCTCAAATACAGTGCTGGGCGGGGGAAGAACACAGAGCGGAGGCGCCCTGAACAAGCCTGGGGAGCCGTGCGTGCTACGCGGTGGCCACACAGAAGACCCCTCCACAGATCACCCAATGCAGCAAACCTGGTTATCTCAACATCAGCCATGAGGCAACTCCTGTAACTGTTTTATCTTCTAATATTACATAAAACATTTGTCACATCCCTTAGCATCCTGAAAGAAAATGGTTTTAGAATATAATCACCCATTTAAATTAAAAAGTTTCTAGAGGACAGTATCCTTTCAATTCAACTCTGCTTTATAAAAGGTACTTAAACCATACCATCTCAAATAACTGCTAAAAGCAAAATAAAATAATTTTCTAAGTAGTAGGATCTCAGAGAGTATGTCTTATAGTGAGTATTAAAAATTGCATAGTACTGGGGCCCCTGGGCGGCTCAGTGAGTTAAGCATCTGCCTTCAATTCAGGTCATGACCCCAGGGTCCTGGGATTGAGCCCTGCACTGGGCTCCCTGCTCAGCGGGGAGTCTCCTTCTCCCCCCTCCCTCTGCCACTACCCCCTGCTTGTGCTCTCTTGCTCACTCTCTCAAATAAATAAAAAGGAAAGAATTGCATTGTATTAATTAAATGGGTGATTATATCTAAAACCATGTTTTTTCAGGATGTTAAAGGACATGACAAATATTTTATATGAAGTATTAGAAGACTGATAAAATAAAATAATCTTATATGGGGTGCCTGGCTGGCTCAGTCAGTACAGCATGTGACTCTTGATCTCAGGGTCATGAGTTCAAGCTCCATGTTGGGCACAGAACTTACTTGAAAATAAATCTTGTAATATTTTGTAAAAACCAACAAAAAATTATGAATCATAAGCAAATGTAGTGTCCTCAAAATACTAAACTACTATCCCACTTCTAGGAATGGATCCAAAAGAAATAATCTAGAATATGGAAAAGCCACATATGAAAATATTCGGGAGAATATAACAGAAAATAAAGAGTGGCTGGCTCAGTCAGGAGAGCATGCGACTCGGATCTCAGGAGTCATGAGACTGAGCACAGAAATTACTTAAAAAAAAAAAAAAGCAAGCTAAGTAAATATCCACTAATAAAGAGTGTATTATATTGCTGTTGGAATATTATTTGATGAACTAGAACTCAGCCACTACAAAGAATAAAGATAATGTAGTAAAAAGATGGAACATGTTTAATGGGAAAAAAGGATGTAGAATTTGGTGTATACTCTAATTGTAACAGTACTTTAAATGAATCTATTTTAATGCAACTTCATTTATGCATTAAAATGTCCTAGAGGAAAGAGTGATACTGTTCACATTACAGCATTAAGATAACGAGTAGTTTATTTTTCTAAGTTTCTTTGGTCAAGATGTTGTAATTGTGTACTTTTAAAAAAACACCCTCCCCCCACCCCGGTCTCTTTTTTCTTCTCTTAAGCATTAGAAATAAAATGTGAACCTACTTCGTCAGAAGCAGAGCGAAGACACTGGACAGCAGCCTGTTTTTTCATTTCTTCTAGAGTTAGGTCTGAGCACTTTTTCTTACTCTTTCCCCATTTCTTGTAAGCTCCTCTTTCCCAGCCCAGGAAGATGTCATTCTCCTAAAATAAGATTAAACAGAGCTCCATGAACAGTGAACTAAGAAGCAAGTTTCAAACACTGTTCCTTCCCACATGCTCAAACACATTCCCCTCCCAAGTGCATTCATTGCTAGTAAGTTCAGAGACCACAGACACAGTCAGTCTGAGCGCTTTGGAATAATCATTCGTTTGGTACCTATTACCCAGATTTGCATTATATTATGATTTATTTACGATCTTAAGGAATATGACCCACTGACATGAAGTGGTAATAAACGCAGACATTTGTATGTAAATCAAGTACAGCGTAAATAAATTCCAGACTGCATACACAATTAAATGTCTTCTGTACTTCCCACTCTTTGATAATGAGTATAAATATTACTACAAGATTTTAACGTTTAACAGTTAAATGGTTCAATTCCTATTTTTTTACCTTGTAGTCTAAAAAACAACAGATATAAAATATTTTATGTTGGCATTGTAAGTTTATTTTTCCCCTTGGTTACACAGGCCCATAATCAAAATCTGAAGAAAATTTGGAAAGTGGGAAGAAAGCAAAATCATCCATGAGACTACCACCCAGTGAGAACTTGAATTATTTGGTCTGCTTCATTTGGCCTTTTCTGTATGCTTTAAAAATCACAGACTTGAATTCATGCTAGTTATAGAATATTGCATTTGACTTAACTTACTAAACCGTAAGCATCACCTCAACATTACCACAAATTCTTTGGCTATAGAATATTCTAAGATGTAAGTTTACAGCTATTTCCCTAAGCTGGGACTTTAAAGTAATATTTTTAATTGCTTTGCTACTTTGTCTCACCCAATTTAAAAATAAGTAAATAAAAAGCCTTCCATTAGATAAATTATGATTAAAACAGTGGACAGACAATAAGAAAAAAAAAGGACCAGAAAGGCAATGGCAAAATTTTAAAAATTACTTAGAAGATGACGTGGCCTACAGCAGGCCCTCAGGACATGGCTACGAATATATGTACAAGAGGAGATAAAGATGGAAAAGCATAATAATAAAAAGATTTTAAAAATCAAATCATACACCATCAACTGTGTAACCCAATTTTTACTTTGATTCAATACATAAAAATTACTTTAATGCCACCAGATAAGAGTGGGAGAACAGTCCCTCCCTCTACACCCCTCATCATTAGCATACTTTCCTTAATTTCTTGGGCACGTCTGCAGATCTCATGAACCTGAAAAACATATTTTCTGGCTGAGTGGTGTCAACTCCAGTTTTCCAAGGGAAAAATGTGTTTAATGGCCAAGTAAGTACTATCAATGTATTTCCATTTATCTGATGGGTTTGGCTGGACAACACCTGAAACCTGACGTTCCTTATCAGTGATATCTCCTGGTGATCAGGTTTGTCCTCTAAGAGGAGCAGCAGACAGACCCATAACAGCACAGACCCGAAGCTTCCAAACGCAGAAAGAAACGTAATAATTCGACTGTTCATACTATATAAAACAAAGGAAGTAGAAAAGCTATTTCTGTAATGATGAACACAGGACTCGTTTTTGTGTGAGCTCTTGAGCCTGGCTCTTTCTCCTTCTTGAGATTATCAACATGTTTCTGTACTGAAGCTGTATTACAGCTCAGCAGAGGTAACACACATTCAAAGTCCTAACGAAGTTTTATTACACAGACAGAAGGGGCTTTCAAAATTCAGTTCACGTGGTCAGGTGCTCTTTCTGGAGGCCATGTGACAAAACATCTCAAACATCTTAAACACAGGAGTGTACTTTCAATCTAATAGTTCTATTTCTGAGAATTTATCCTAACAAAATAATCACCTCTGTGCGCACAGGCTTAGCTGCTGTGGTACTGACCACAATGCTGTCAACCAAGGCAAACAGCCAGAAACCTAAATGCCAAATGTCAGGAATTATTTAACTTATTTAACTTATATTTAACTTATTTAACCAAGGAAGACTTGGTTAAATAAGTTATAGTTTATCCAGGCGATAAGATATGTACGACAGCCATTAAGGAGATTACGCAGTGCACTTACTGACAAAGAAAACCATCTGCAATATACTAGGAGAAACAGTCTACACAGCAGTACAACCTCGTTTCGTGTGAATGTGCGTGTGCGCACACGTTACCGTGCACTAGAAGGTCTCAAGAGAAATGACCTAAGAGGTCACTGAGGAGCTTCTCTCTCAGTGAGCAGGAGAAGCACACTAATATTATTTTCTGATTTTTCTTATAATTAGGTCATACTGTTTAATAGTCAAAAGTTGTTGGGGCACCTGGGTGGCTCAGTCATGAAGGGTCTGCCTTCGGCTCAGGTCATGATCCCGAAGTCCTGGGATCAAGCCCCACATCGGGCTCCCTGCTCGTGGAGGGCCTGCTCTTCCCTCTCCCTCTGGTGCTACCTCCTGCTTGTGATCTCTCACTTGCTCTTGCTCTTTCAAATAAGTAAAATCTTTTAAATAAAAAAAGTTGTGATATTGTTTTAATAGAAAATTTACTAAGTTAAAAATGGAGAAACTTGGAAGAGCGTCTGCCACTCTTCACCTAGGATAGGTTATCTGGCAGGGGCTTCACGTTTCCTATCTGGCATCCTAGGTCTACCCATAAATGTGGACTCCCCCGTTCATTCAGTAGTGACTTCAGTGTCTGCTCTGGGGCACTAGGGATCATAAGTATGAACACAGCAGAGGCCCTACCTGCCAGAGGTGCCCAGGCTGGTATAAAATACAAACTCAAAGGCCAACACCTGAGAATGGTGGTTGCTGCTATAAAGGTCTGCAGAACACATTCAGGAAGACTAAAAGGGGCACATTCTTTTTCTTGGCCTGGTTGGCCAGGCTTTTCCCTCTGCCTGCCCCTCTCCCAAACTAGTGCTCTCTCGATCTCTGCTAAGCAAATAAAATATTTTAAAAATATAAGTAAGGAGGTGCACCTGGGTGGCTCAGTTGTTAAGTGGCTGCCTTTGGCTCAGGTCATGATCCCAGGGTCCTGGGATCGAGCCCCACATCAGGCTCCCTGCTCCGTGGGAAGCCTGCTTCTCCCTCTCCTACTCCCCCTGCTTGTGCTCCCTCTCTCGCTGTCTCTGTCAAATAAATAAATAAAATCTTAAATATATATATGTGTGTGTATGTAAATAAATAATTAAAAAAAAAAATCTATTTCTCGCCCCAAAGGAAACCCTATACCATTAGCAGTCCCTTCCCATCACTACTCTGCTCTCTCCTGAGTCACTGGGAACTCCTGGCCTGCCGTCTCTATGCATCTGACTATTCTGGAAATTTCATATAAATGGAGTGATATGATTGACCACCTTTTGCGTCTGGCTTCTTCCCCTCAGGGCAAGGTTTTGAAGGCTCATCCTTCGTACAGGCTGTGGCACGTACCAGGGCTCCACTCCCTTTCCTGACTGAGGAATACTCCACCGCGTTTCCTCTATGAACGCTCTAACGAGCATTTGGATCATTTTACCTCCTGGCTATTCTCAACATTCACATACAGGTTTTCGTAAGGACATATAGTTTTCATTCTCCCGATTGGAGACCCAGGAGTAGAACGGTGGGGTCACGTGGCATCTGTGTGTTCAACCCTTTGAAGAACCGACATATGATTTTCAAAGTGGCTCTCGTTCACCATCACACCAGCGGCATCTCAGGGTTCTGCCTCCCCCACATCCTGACACTCGCCATTCCCTGGGTTTTTATCTTAGCCGTCTCGGCAAGCACGAAGTGGTGTCTCATCGTGGTCTTCATGTCTCGAATGACTAACAACTAACAACATGGGGCGCCCTCTCATGGTCTTGCTGTCTTCTGTCCAGGAAAGATACACCAACAGGCCATTCAAGTAGTGGCCCGTTTTAAAAGAATATATTCTGAACACAAATCTCTCACTAAATACAGGATTTGGAACATTTTCTCCAATTCTATATATTTTTTTCTTCACTTTCTTGATGATGTCCTTTGGGGCACAGAAGTTTCTCATTGTGATAAAGTCTCATCCACTAGGGTCTTAGGCTGCTTGCTTCTGGTGTCCTGAGAAATCACTGCCTCCTCCAAGTTGTGACAATTCACTCCCACGTTTTCTTCCAAGAGCTTTATAGTTCAGCCCCTCTCACTGATGACTCGAAACCAGTTGGAGTTAATACTTGCACGTGGTATGAAGTAGGAGTCCAACTTCCTTTACAGGCGGCTACTCTGCTATCTCGGCAGCTTTCATTGAAAAGACCATTCTTTCCCCTCACGTGGTCTTATTAGACCATAAACACACAGGTTCGTTTCTGAACACTCAGTTTCATTTCCTACAGCCATCCGTACACCAGGACCAAGTGGCTGTGGTTACCAGAGCCTTGTGCAAGTTTTGAAACTGAGACGTGTAAGTCCTCCAGCTTTGTTCTTCAAGATTTCACTGGCTACTCTGAGTCTCTTTAGAGGTCTATATGGATTCTAGGATCAGCTTGCCAAAATCTCGGCAACAGAGGCAGTGGGGACTTTGGCGGGGCCGCGCTGTGTGTGGATCAATGCGTGGGACACCACTGTCTTACCGACATGGAGTCTTCTGGTTGTGAACATGGGAGGTCCTTCCATGTACGAGGTCTTCCTTCGTTTCTCTGAGTGACGTTTTCAGTGTGCAAGTCTTGCACTTCTTTTGTTAGATTTATTCCAAAGTATTTCATCCTTTTTAATACTGCTATAAATGGACTTTTCTTAATTCCATTCCTTAAGGTTTTCTCTATACAAGATTGTGGTACCTGTGAACCATCACTTCCAAGCTGGCGGTCTTTTCTTCTCCTTCCCCAGCCGCCCTTGCTAATGCTGATCTATAGTAAGACTTGGTGTATTTTGTCTTTGAAAATGTCTTTTCACACAGATACTGCCAAATACTGATATGAACCGCAGGCATGCATTTAACTAAACATGTTAATTGACTAGAAGACATTTATGAAATCTGTTAGATTCTTCCCTTCCTATTTGCCTTTCCACATGTCCCTGTAGTGCAGACCAGTCGCCCCTAAGTCAAAGTTT